TTGTGGCCTTTCCCCGCACCACCCTGTTTTATTCCCCCTCCCTTCCCTGCTTTACCTTTTGTTTTTCTAATTTATATATTTTCACTGATATCCTTTCTCTCATTCCTGTTTTCCTGATTTCCAACTATTTTCTTTTTCACAGACAGACTCTTTTTTACCTTGTATTCTATCACTGTAATGTCTCCCTTTGGCCTTTTTATACCCCGCTTTCTTCGCCCTCGCGTTCCTGCTTTACCTTTTGTCTTTCTAATTTCTACCTATTTACATTCTCACTGACATCCTGCCCCACTTTTAGCATCTATCATTCCTTGGAGTCTCAGACCAGCAGAGACTCCCTGTGCCTGAACAAGGGTGACTGTGCCTGAAAGCTTGCCAAGAACTTTTTTCAAACTACTCAGTTGGTCTAATAAAAGATATCACATCTACTTTTCAGATGTTTTTGGGAAACTTTACAGATACATTACCACAAGATTGTCTAGCATTCTGCCTGCATCTCATTTACAAACATTGGTTAGTGATAACGTACTCCAAGACTTTAAATTCATAGGCCACATCCAGATAAGCATGGCCATACAGTATGTAGTGTTGAAAACTTGTCTGTGGTGCCACATACTGCACGTTCAGTTGTTCTCCATGCTGCAAGGGAGCATGGGTCAAAAAAACCCATGGAAAAAAACTGCAGAGCAGCGCATACACAGGCAGCGTGTGCTGCTCAAAAGCAGAGCTGGGCCACCTGGAGCCATGCTCCAGCTGCCAGCCAGGCTCCACATGGCAGAATTGTTACTGCTGCAGCCCTGGGAAGCACCCTGGACCCCGGGTAAAGGTGCACCACTGCTAGTTGTCCCTGGGGAACCAAAGGTCCACACTATGTGTGGACACAGCCATAAAGGTTTTTCCCTTCCTGAAAGTACTAGTGAAGTTTGCTATTTTTGATTAGCAGGTACACTGGAGTTTCCCAGACATGTCCTTGTTTCCAGACAAGTTTTTAAAATGTGACCAAATGTCCAGGTTTTTGCTTTGCCTCTGCTTTTCCCAGACACAAGCAGCTCCGCTGTCCAAGCAAAATCCATGGGTTACTGTGCCGTGTGTGTGGTGCATCGTTAGATCTGATGGATCTAACCAGGGCACCATAGCAACATTGCCGTATGGTGATGTGTAGACGCCCTCATAGAGAACATATATGCAATATTTTCTTTATCAGTCTGTCCTCTACCTATGTGGTGTAGTGTAGTACATCCTGGTCCTAAGCTCTGCTACCTTTGAAGGCTTTCTCCATGGAATATGGGGTAACTGGCTTGTCATCTTCTTAAAGAATGGGCACAAGACTACAAAAAGGAAGGCAGGCAATGACCAGCCTCACAAAGAAGAAAAGACATTGAGCAAGCAACTGCAAAAGGAGAACTAGGTTGGAACAAAATGGAGGGGAATCTGAACCTGAGTCAGTGAAGCAAGAGAAGTGGATGATGGTAGTTATGAATGCTACCAAAATTCAGGGGGAGAGGAATTATTTTCTACCTCTGCCTAGGAAGGTCAGGATCTGCAGCTCACAGTTTTGTGCCTCCTTTAACTAGAGATGTGAAATACTTAAAGTGCTTTGTAGACAGGAAAAGTCTATACAAGAAACGATTTCCCTAAAAGAGGGTGTGTCTCTCACTTTCCCAGAAGATGAGGCTGGACCTGTCCTCTCTTAATTCAACACAGTCATTCCCAGTATCTGTTAAAGAATGTGTCTACCTGAGCAGTTCTTCTTAAACCATAGCAAACAAAGATGGTGTGACCAGATTAGCTGTGAACATTTGTTATGCTCACACCTATGCCAGGTGGTAAGAACCTTTGAAAATGCCTAAGCCCTGAAGCGGCATACTAGATTCAGGGCCTTCAGGCAAACCACTTCTGACAATATTTAAAAGAAAAACACTGAATTGAAAAGGGGGCTGCACAAGTTTGCCTTCTTCCATCTCCAGTTTCTCTTGCGTTTGATTGTTGTGGTGACAAAAACAGGAAATTAGGGGTAGTGACTTAGCACATTACTGTTCATGATCTTCTGCTGCTTAAAAATAGTTATGCAGGAAAGTGATAAGGTTGCCCGTTAACCACAGACGTGGTGAAAAATCAATGACTTTGTCAATCACCCATTCATTTGGTAAAATATGGGAGCAGTTAAAATGCCCCTTTGTTTAGTGATAACTGATACAACAGGTGCCACAGTCCAAGACACTGAAAGAACCAAGCAAAAGCAAAGGCCCAACCCAAGGACTTTCCCTGGAGACCAGTTGTAAATGCAAGGACAGTGAGATTGTAGCTGCATGCATGTATGGCATGAACCAGAATGCAGAGAGGAAGCAAGCAGGCCATGAAAGCAGCAGTGTGAAAACAGCTGTGTGAGGAAGCCGAGAGGGAGAGTTCCTTTAGAGCAAGGAACTTGCTGACAAGGCAGACGTGGGTTGCAGAACAAGGGAACCTCTCCTACTGTTTGTCTGAATGATGTTCATAGAAATAAGATTCTGTATACATAATTTGTAAATAGCATCTAAACAATTACTGAATCCATCCCATTTCTCCTTAACAGAAACAACCCAGACAGGCCCCGGATATTAGCCAGGAAGCAGCAGTATTAACCCAACAGTTTTTTGCAGTGTTCATGCCCCGTCTCTGTATCTGTTTTCCTAATTATTTATTCTCTGCAGCTTTCCAAACTGAGGTATCACTTACTTGGCTGCCTTTATTAGTGCAGGCATCTTTCAAAACCCAGCCTAAAATCTGCTGAGAAGTCAGGAACAAGGAAATTATAAGGGTTTTGGTTTCCTTACCAGGTGTAAAATAACAATTGAGGTACATCCTCTTCAGTCCAGTATAGAAGGAAGGAAGGAACCTTTCTGCATGTTTAAGAGACTCAAAAGGAATAAAAAGTGTGTTTGTACTATAACTGGGTTTATTACCACTGAGATTTTTTGTGGAGTGTATTGTTAGAGCACAGGTGTTAAGCTAGTGCATTTTGGTTTTGTTTTTCATATCAGACTTACATGGGTTCATTGTATCATGTAACTAAAAAGACAATGAATGCCTCCCCCCGCCCTGCTAAAGCATTTCCAGTGTTTGCACAGAAATGTAGGCTGCAAAACAGTTTGACTTGTACAACACACTCTTTCACTGCTCTTGTGCCCCACACTCTTTCCAGCAGAACTCATCAGCTATGAATGCTGCATGAGAGGAGTGGAGAGTCTAGTCCTTTGTGGTAGAACGAATACTTTCCAATGAAGTATTTGGCACCTAGATGGTATACTTATGAGTATACTAGATATGGATGCCTGTGTACGTCTGCTCTTTGCTTTCTCCTAAACTTTTTAATTACCTGTAATAATACTTAAGTAACCCTGTAATATTACCTTCCCCCTACTAAGCATAAGGAATAAAGTAAATAGTGACTTTTATGCAAGGCAGTCTGGTGGGGGCAACATTCTCAGCAGCCATGCCACAAATTAGCCCTGCACCTTCCCCAAGGGCCACTCTGATCCCCTTCCCCTGCCTGATCTGCTGCTCTGCTTTCTGCTTCCAGACCTCTGTTGCCTGTTTGATTTGTTGCTTTGTTTTCTCCATCCTGCCCTATTTGCCACTGTGCTGCCTGCCCTCCCCAATCTGCTGCATGCCCCACACAGAGACTGCCCATGCCACTTATGGCACCCATGCTACAGGTTGGCTACCCCTAATATAAGGCATAGCTGGCTACTCACTGAAGCAAATGACTTCTATGCTCCTTCAGCAGTCATTCCACTGAATGAACCTGTTAGGTTCAACAGCACAGCACATGGCTTCTACCAAGACATTTCTAGAGCCTTCAAAATTTTCTTATAACTGATAATGAGAAAGACCAGGAATAAAGGTCCAACATTGTGTCTGGTCATACAGATTTTCTCATGACCAGACCAATCTTCCCTATCACCCAATTGAGGGCCAGGTCCCCATTCGATGAAAATCAGCTTATCTTTATGAAAGCTATGCACATGAATGCTTAAAGGAAGCTGTTATGCAGAGTCTTATTTAGTATCACATTAAAAATCCATGTCCTTTCTCCCCCAGCTCAGTACCCTGATAGCTTCCCCCAGTTTCTTGCTGTCCCCTAGTTTCTTGTTGCTATCACTGCTTCTTGAGAGAATCAAACAAGGGGTTAAGAAAGCAGAAAACAAGAGGTGCTGTCAAAAAAGGCTGATTTTCTGTTGCATCTGCCTGACTGTTCTTTTAAGTGGGGTAGCAGGCAGGCAGGAAAGGAGTGGGGATTTGAGAAAGAAAAAGGAAAGGGAAAAAAGACATAACTGAATAAAAACAAGAATGCAAATCACCCAATAAGCAATTAAAGGAAATCAAAGCAAAGCCCCAACTGATTTTTCTGATTGAAATAAACTTCTCTTCTGGAAAATCATCCATAACAAAGCCGTTATTCAAACTTCTGAACTGATGTGCTTAGCACCTTCCCAAATTACAACAAAACAGATGTTCTTGTCCTTGATCAGAGTGAGTAAACACCCACTACCTTTCTTGGCTTTTGTCAGATACACATTCTTTTTTCCCCAATCTCCTGTGTTCAAAGTTCCTTTTTTTATGCCATAAAAGCATATGAAGGTTCTTATCACTTTAATTCTTATTGCATATTTACATACATATCTTTTTTTATCTTTCCCAAAATGTACATCTGTGTATATACAATTGGAGCTGGAAACATGGGTGTTAAAGTGACATCAAAATAGACTGAACTAAACTGTGCATGTTTAAGGACACAATTCCTAACTTCTGGACCTAAAGCCAAGAGCATTTGCAGGGTAGTAAGGTCCACCTTTTACCTGGTCTCCCTATGTTCTAAGCAGCCAGACTGGACACAGCTTTTGAAAGCTGGCTCTGCTGCTGTGTTTAAGATGGTTATAAATACCTTTGCAACTTTGAACTCAATGAGATGCTGCATTCAGATGAATAGTAAACCTTTTAATTATTTCTTATGTCTTCCACAGACTGGAAAAAGAAATAGAGAAGCTAGAAAGTGAAGAATCCCAGATATCTGCCAAAGAACAAATCATCTTGGAGAAACTAAAAGAGACTGAAAAATCGTTTGAGGACTTACAAAAGGTATGTAGTGTAAGAGAGAGCCTGAGGCCAAGGCAGATGTCTTAATACTGACTGAAAGCAACTGATACAGTATAACATGCCTATCAGGGGTGTGTGAAATAGGATGTATTCAATTCAGCTTCAGCCCGAATCAGGGACAGTGATTCGATTTGTTGATTCGGATTGCTGTCTCCCATTCAATTCAGTGAAATCTGAACCTGAAGATGCAGTGCTGATTCAGAGAATCAGCGATTCAGCTATAGACACAGCTTTAAACGTTTTTTCTACATACCTCGAGGTACCAGGCAGCTTTGAATGCTGCAATACTGGGGTGTATGGAGCATCCCACAGGAGCGTGGTGGGGGGCTCCCGCGTGTTCAGCAGCGAACCCGGAAGTACTTCTGGTCCACTTCTGGGTCTGCTGCCAAGCACGCTGGGGGCCCCCCAACTCCCACCTGGCTCAGCGATCAGCCATGGGGGAACCCCGGGTGCCCCCCAGACCCAGGAGGCACCAGTCATGAGCCAGAGGTGTGCGGGGGGCCCCCTGCATGCTCCCTAGCGGACCTGGAAGTGGACTGGAAGTGCTTCTGGTCCACTTCCTGGTCTGCTGCTAAGTGTGCTGGCCCCCCCATGCTCCTGTGGGATGCTACATCTGCCCCAGCATCTCAGCATTCACAAGCCACCTGGTACCTTGAGGTATGTAGAAAAAACATTTAAATCTGTATCTATGGCCAAATCATCAAGGTTCCGATTCAATTCGGAGAGATTAAAGGGTCTCCTGATTTGATGAGATTCAGCCACCAAATTGGGCTGAATTTTCACTGAATTGAATCAGGGACCAAAGCTTCACACAGCCCTAATGCCTATGCAGAGGTGGAGGATAGCAATGGAGTGCACAACCATTACTAAGCTGAGCAAGACCAGAAAAAATGGTGATTAACCTTTGTAGTAGAAAGGCTTCTCTCCATTTCACAGGGTGAGAAAGGATAGGAGTCCTGCAGCTACCATGAAGGACACAAAGGAGACTAACAGGCTAGTTGGAGAGCAGTGTCTCTCTTATTCACTTCTACAGCTTCTATGTAGAGAATCTCTCCTGTTAGTAGCTGTCCTAGTCTGTATATTCAGCAGGCTCCCACTCTAATTGAGCCTGAGGTCCAAATCACATACCTCATTCCTAAACATTTGCTTTCCACTTTAATCAGTAGGTGCTGTCATCTAAGTAATGGCAAGTAGTATTGAACCCACATAAAGTAGGTTCATTTGGCAATTACAAAATTAACCAACAAGCTGAGTAGGCTGCTAATCATCCTAGTCTTTCACCCTCTGGGTTGTGAACAGCTGAGCAGAGGTTGAGCCAAGGGTGAGACACAAGTCTGAATGAGATGCAAACAGCAGAGGCAGGCTGTTCCTGTTGATTTAGCAGGCACATTCATATCAGTCTGAGCATTGCCTTTATACTGAAGTCAGTAGGATTAAACAAATGGCTTCCCACCTTACCCATGGGCATCTTGACTGGCTTACACTATACTTCTCTATTGTAACCACCTTTATAGCTAAGTAGCCATTTCCTTTTCCAAGGAGTTTTGCACACAGCAAACACAGATAAAGAATCTAGAATAACACTTTGGTACTTTACATCACACAAACACTTAACCAATCCCCATCTTTTTGTCTTTACAGAGGTTCTCACAGCAGGATGGTGGTAAGTGTTTATACCATGATTAATAATTATAGTTTTAATGGGCAATTTGTAATAAAATACTGCTGCTACTTGTTATAGGATGAGGATTATTGCTTGTATTTAGGCCAGGGCTGTCCAACTTTAGAGTGGCTGTAGTGATCATGGGCCTTGGGCCACATACCACACAGGCTGCACACTGTATGGGTTACCAGGACCCCTGCCATACAAACAGAACAAGCCCTCCTGCTGACACCATGCCAGTGAGCCCCCCTCAACCCCACTCCTGGTACTGCCTCACAAGCAGCATGCCCCCTCCCTGCCACGTGGGCAGTGGGTATGGCCGGCAGGCAGGCACCATGCGGCCTGGATGCTGCCCACAGGCCACCAGCTGGAAAGCCCTGATTTAGGCTGGCTGTGATTTTTTGATTGAAGCCATTAAGACTTTTGCTTTGCAGTTATTATATCACATGGAGAAATTGCTCTACTGTTCATTACGCTTTACAATGTTTTTGTGTCAAACACATGTGGGGTTAAGTTCTACTGCGTTACATCTCAATAAACCACAGAAACGCTTTTAACTTGAAATCTGACTATGCTTATGTCCAGCATTTTCAGAATGTTTTTCTTAGAAAGCTTTATTTTTGGGAGCAAGGCTGCTGTAGAACTTGAACATGTTTCCTAGTGATAAATATGAAAACTCTCTGCAGTCCCCATTTTAGGATTTTGAAATGTCTGCAGAAAGGACTCCATGATGAAGTGTAACCCCATCAGATGGAATGATACTAGATCTTTTGATTGGGTTGGTTAATGCAGACATAAGTGTTAGAAGGCTTTTTCTTTGCCCTCAGTTCTGAACCCAGTGCATACTTTGTCCACTACACATTTCCTCTACATAAATATGCTTTATTTAGTTGCTTCTATATCACTCTAGAGTTTTTTCCCCCATGTACCTCCTTCAACAGCCTTTCCCATATCATTGACAAGAAATAACATTCTCTGAGGCACAAAGATGCTTCTTCTGACAGACCATGAACCAGACAGATAATTTGATCACATAAATCTTAAGACAAGAGGTACCATAGCATAACATAGAACTGAGGTACTGCCTTTCTGTTAAGTCAATCTTACTGCCATTAGCCTAAAGAAAGCTACAAGGCTAATGGCATTCCATATTACAGAAAAGTGGCCTGGAAGGATACCTCAGGAGGTCATTTAATCCAGCCCTCTGCTCAAGGCAGGACCATCCCTATCTCAGCCATTTTATAGAATTGTTTATCTAACCTACTAGTCCTCGTGAAACAGCATGAGCAACCTGCCTCCAGAACTGCCAGGCACAGTACCCAAAACCCAAAGTTGCCACAGGTAAAGCAAGGGAGCAACAACACTGTCAATGTCATGCCACTGTAAAGACAAGAAATAGTCACAAACTTTTACTTTCCACAAAAGACATTTTAAGTTTTCAGGAAACCTTCCTTCCCAGCTTGTGCCAAGAGCTAGAGAGAAAAAATCCTGGAAAGAAAAGGCTGCAAAAAAATCCATTGTGGGAAAACTAAAATGTAATTTTTCTTCATGCTCCCAGGGCTGCCCACCTATCAGCAAACTGCTGGCCCAGGTAGCTAGGCAGCTTGGAGAACCTCTTGGCCAGGGAGTTGTGTCTCTGGGGGAACTGGGGAGCCAGCTGCCTGGGGAGTCACCTGCTGCACAGTCTAAAGCTCCAGCAGGTCATCACAACGCCTGCTTTCCATCAAGAGTTTTATTAAAGGTGACATGTTCCCATGGAACATTTTCACATTCACAAATTGGCTTTTTCCAATGGAAAAACATTCTATTGGAGAATGTTCCCCTGGTTTTGAATGCATATAATATCCATTAAAGCCAGGAAGGGCTTAAACAGCCAAAAGAGCCATCATGCAACATTTTCCACCTTGACTTCAATACTATATGCTGCCCAAATGCTGCAAATTCTCTTTGCATACTATAAAAGCAATTCTCTTTCAGTTGTCTGTATTCACACAGTGTTCATAAACAGTTGAATAAAATGAGGACTGTTTTTCATTTAGATTAATAACCTGTTTTGATTAAATTTAAATTACTTCACCAGTGAATTATATTCTCCATGTGAAAACTCCCATATAGTTAGAAAGCACTGCTTTGACGGATGTGTACAGTAATAATTAGTTTATGGATTCAATAACCCCAATGCACCTGATGAGCCTGAATACTGAACTTTGCATTTAGGTCAGCAAGTAAGAATAAAAGCTGTTTAAATTCATGTGTTGCCAGACAGCACTTTAAGAGGTAAATGCACTTTAAGAGGAAGCCCACACATGTTGTGTTTGACAGCATTTATCTACAATAACTTGCACTCCAGACACTGGTACTTGATGCACATCAAACTGGTAGGACATAAAATACCAAAGTTAAGACTATGGGCCCTCCATTGGTTGTCCCAGGTTTTCATCTATAAATATAGATGAAGGATATGTGGAATGGTCCAAATATAGGACAGTACAGAGAGTTTTATGAGTAGGGACCTACCAAATTCATGATTTTGTAGATTCTGTGAAAACTGGCATTGCTGATGAAATCCAGGCAATGCTTGCAAAATGCATGGAAAAAAACCTACAGAAAAGAAAATTCTGGCTCCTCAGAAGGAGCCAGCAGTCGTCATCATGCTGCAGCAGCGAAGCGGGACAGGAAAGAGGAGAGGAAGGGCTGCCCACTTGAACAGCTGTGGGCAAGATAGCTGCCACCACTGCCTCTCACCACTGATTGGCTGCAAGGATCACATGTCATGTGGCCCCACCCCTCTCCACCAATTGGCAGTGAGGGGCAGGGCTGCATGATGGACAGTCCTTGCAGCCAATCAGCGGTGAGGGATGGAGCCATTGGGGCTCTTTGGCCAATCAAGAAATGTGTGTGGAGGGGGGGGGTGCCATGCTTCACCCACAAAATGATTACACCGACCCACATTCTGCTTGCAAAATCTGAGTGCAAATTAAGTAGATCCCTATTGATGGGTACTGGAGCTTTTGTGGAGGGTTACAGTGTAACATATGGGACCTTGACATCCACTGAATCAATTAAAAGACTCCCATTGACATCCGTGGTTAACATGAAACCCATATTGCTGTGCTGTGCCCCAACCCCCTATTAACAAATGACTCCACTTTTTGATGATACCTGCATTAGAAACTGAGTTCAAGATCAGGTCCCAAGTAAATAAATCATTTCTAATTAGAAAAGGGAAAATTATTTAAAATATATCAAGAATCCACTCTGACCCTAAATGAGGGCACTCCAGCTGAACGGTTTGGGTAACCATGTCTTCTAACAAGTTTGACTGTAATACAAAGGCAATATTACCACAATGATGAACTTTTCTGGCAGGGTATTTTTTTTTAACTTTTGCTTCAAATTCAAGCTATGGTAATGATAGCCAACATATTATGAAAAGTTTTTCCTGAATTAAGGACTGCTTTGAGTTTTGACTTAACTAAATTAAGTCACTCATTTCCTTGCTACATAAGGTATGTGACCAGGCTGGTGTCTTTTATTAGTAATTTTTTATTATTATTCATTGAGTATCAACACTGGATAAATTCCCTACCTCATCACAATTTGTTTAGTCAAACAAATTATTAGGCTCAGCCAATGGGTCACCAGGTGACATTCCATGCCCTAGGTTATACAGGAATCCAGACTGCATGGTAGAATAGTCCCTTCTGGCTTTTAAGTCTAAGAATTGCTTTGTGCTTTACAAAGACCATACCAGTTGGTGTGTGCCTGTAAGTACTGGATGTTGACCTTGCAATTCAAATTCCAAATATCAAGTGCAGAATTTTCTTTTTACATAGGCCCAGAAAGCAACATTAGAAGGTTCATCTGAAGCATCTAGAATTGACCTGTCTGAGAGGAAGTGCAATTGAAAAGAGCTTCATCACAGCAAATAGTTTGTCCCTAGAGTAGATACTGTTGTAATTGGGACTCGGTCTTTACAAGGTAGAAGATTCCCTTGTAGTTAGGCACCTAAGGCATTTATACACATACTTTTCTGTCCCACAACGCAATGGAGATACGCCATTTTGGAGCAGACTCAATGAATCAAGTCTGCTCTACAAGTGAACTGAGGCGAACTGTGCTTCACCATGTGCAGTTGTACAAATAGCAAAATGCACATCAGCACACAGAAAATGGCGGCAGTGTGCTTTTGAACTAAAGCACCTCCTACGGATTTTAGTTCAAAAGCATGGTGCCACCATTTCTCAGCACTGACAGACATTTTGCCACTTATACAACTGCAAGTGTTACAGCGCCAGGCGCTTTTCAAAGTGCCCAGTGCAGCGGCACTTACACGTGTAAAAATACCCTTAAACTGCTTAGGCGCTTTTGTAAATCCCATGCCTGTCTGCACCTAAATCTGGATCTATGGGGGTCTCATAAATATGAATGGACCCCAGCCAGAAAATGATGACTATGGTATTTCCCAGTGTTTTCATAATCCCCCTGAATGGGGCTCAGAAAAGGACTTTCCCTCCATACCTATATTTTGAGGCACATTCTCTTTACAGAAGAAAGGAGACAGGTGAAGCTTGTGATTTCTGAGAGATTGAGGAACTTCCACATAAATTGCAAAATAAAACTAGGGGTTTAAAAAAAACCCATAATAATAATGTATAATCAGAGCAAAAATGTAACTATTTAGATGTGTGCCTATCATCAACATGATCATGTTGCTAGTATACTACACCCCTGTTCTTCATCCTTCATCTGTTAATTGTCATGCATTATAAACTCTTGGCCTTGTCTAGACGGGCACAGCCATGTGGTATGTGGCACAGCAGACATGTCTGTGATGTGCCACCTACCACACATTTAGCTGTTCTTCACGCTGCAAGGGAGCAATGCCAGGGTGGGGATTACCCCTGGATATCTAGGGATTAAAAAAAACCTGCAGAAAAAAAAACACACAAGAGTAGCACATGCGGGGGCACCACATACCACTCAAAACCAGAGCCTGG